CTCAAGATTCTTAACATTCTTTAAAAAAGACACTAGGAACTAAATCAAAAGATTCGCCATTTCAAACTTTTTCAGAAATAAAATACCAAAAATCTCTAGGATCTTTTCAAATTGTTTCAGAAATAAAGCCGTCAAGTTTCTTTCATATTTTGAAAATAAGATACTAGAATCCCCAAAGACTCCTTTAAAGACAACATGTCGAAGAGTCCCTAAGATCTTTTCAAATTGTTTAAAAAAATGCACCAGGACTCTTCAGAATTCTTTCATGGCTTTTCAAAATATAACAAGGGAATCTCAAAATTCTTAAACATAATTTTAAAAAAAGATAGCAAGCACTCCGAAGATTCTTTGAAACTATTTTGGACTTATTGTGACAATTTTTATAAGTCATTATCAAAAAGATACTAAGAACCCTAGAACTTTTTCAAAACTTTGCAGAGACAAAATATCAAGAGTCCCCAGGATTTTTTCAAATTGCCTAAAAATAAAACACAAAGGAGCCTCCAAAACTCATTTAAAGACAAAATATTAAAAGTCTCCAAGATTTTTTCAAATAAAAAAAAATACACCAGAGTTCTGCACAATTTTTTACAGTGTTTCAAAATAAGTCACAAAGGGGCTCTCAAGATTCTTAAACATTCTTTAAAAAAAAATACACTAGGAACTCCTAAGACTCTTTCAAATTATTTTGGGCGGATAATAACGATTTCTATAAGTCAGTATAAAAAGATACAAAGAGTCCCCATTATTCTTTCAAACTTTTTCGAAAACAAAGTATCAAAAGTCTCCAGGATCTCTTCAAATTGTTTCAGAAATAAAACACAAGCCTTACTCAAGATTGTTCCCCATTCTTTAAAAAAAAGACATCATGAGCGGGCAAGTTTCTTTCATATTCTTAAAATAAAAAGATACTAGCATCTCCAAAGACTCCTTTAAAGACGAAATGTTAAAACTTTCCAAGATCTTTTCAAATTGTTGTTGTCCAGGAATCTTGCAAAGTTCTATAAGTCAATTTAAAAAAGATATCAAGAACCCCCACGATTATTTCAAACATTTTCAAAAATAAAAACCAAGAATCCCCAGGATTTTTTCAGACTGTTTCAAAAATAAAACAGAAAGGATCCCCTAAGATTGCTTTAATGACAAAATAGTAAGAGTCTCAAAGATCTTTTCAAATTGTTTAAAAAAATACTCCAGCACTCTCCAAGATTCTTTCAAAGTTTTTCAAAATAAAACACCAGCAACTTCCAAGATTCTTAAACATTTTTTGAAAAATGACACTAGGAACGTTTAAGACTCTTTGAAACTCTTTTAGGGTTATTATGACAATTTATATAAGTCAGTATAAAAAAGATACCAAGATTCTTTCCCATTCATTCCATTCATAAGAAAAGACAATAAATGCTCCAAATCCCTAACAGTCTTTCAAACTCCTTCAAAACGAAACAGCAGCAAAATCAAAACCCATGTGGCCCTCAAGACAATTTATATTTCTTTACCAAAAAAATTCACGTTCTTATCTTATCGTACAAATTGTCATAAGAACAAAAAAAAGATAGGGTGCTTTAGGGGCGAGGGAACTCTATCTAAATATCTCTGAACCTTTTGTTATTATTAACAAAAATAATCTTGATATAAAGTCCAAGTCATATCATATGTTTGACGTCATCTAGAGTCTAGACGTCATCTTCGTGACCGCTCTCCCAAGCAATCCTTCTCCCCGTGAATCCCGCCGTCACTCCGGCCGAAAACTGCATCTGTCGCAGCCATTCCTCCGATCCGTCTTCCGAGCGATCCCCGATTTATGGTCCGGTGGGGTCCGGGCCTCTTCCCGGAATGAATATTTCTTGCCCAAATCCGGCGTTCGGTTGTTACGGAACAAGTAGAGACGTCCCAGCGCGAACATTCAGACTAATTAATGTCTTCATCAGTTCAAAACTATGAGGTCGATCTGTTTCGGGCCGGAGAAACAATGGCCGGCTCGCCGAACAAGCTTGTGGGGAAATAAGCACACTACATCACCCTGGAAGAGGTGTGTTAATTACGAATTCGGCGCAGACAGACGAACTATTTATTTCGTTAATCACACGGTCCGGAATTTACCAAAGTGTAGCAGTGAGTGAAGTCCGGAGGAATTATCGGCGGCGACGATCGATCCGGTTTATTTAGAGCCGAGCAAGTCGCCCATAAGTCTAGAGAAACTACTTTTTCGGTTCGGGGCTTGAATTCGAAAGTAGCTAGTCTATCTGAAGTCCTGTGCTGCAATACATAACTTGATATTATCCTGTGAAGTTGTATGCACTCGGAAATCGGAGCAGTTGTAGCGTAACTTCGTTATTTATGCATCGAATTCTGTGCAAATGCATCTGAAAGCAAAAACGTGGAGATGGGGGATGGGGATCGGGAGCGCTAATGGGCTCTGGCACTAAGGTGTTGAGCGATTTCGGGACTAGGGGGTTTTTGACGTGAATTCTGCTGGGTCTTTTCGTGACGTGCTGTGGCAGTCACTAAAACAAAACTACGAAACTGCCCCTAAATTTCCCGACTTTTTCCGGTCCGGTCACATGTGTTTTCCGGAAAATTACGGCGACATTTCCGGAATAATTTTATCGTGTTTTATACTACAATTTTCTTGCAGTAAGTCGAGCGTGCGGCAATTTTCTTTCGAGGCATCGTTGGGATGACTCAGGTTTTCTCTTAACTCACTCAAGTGCTGTCGATTTTTCCCCCTAAATGGCGTTTTTGCGCTGTGGGAATTTTCATCGGCGTGCTAAAAATTTAAATGCCATAACGAGGATGTAATGAAGAGATATAAAAAAATAGTAATTTTGTAAACTGCTCGTTTATGTGCTAATAAAAGCTGGAGGTATCGTGTTCTTTGTTTTATTATTCGTAATTTTTATGTTTGTGGTTGACCTTTGTTCAGGTTTAGATTATCGTGGAGAGGATCCTGAAGTGAATTTATTTTTAGTCTTTGTGTTTTTCTTGTCGGTCGTGTTTTGTGGTTTTGTTGTTTGAATTATTGCTAGAAGTGAAATATGTGTCTACTTTTTCAGGGGGTTTTCAGCAACGCCTGGTAGTGGCTAGAGTCAGAGCTATTAAGAGGAATTGAATTACGCTTTGATGCGCTAATTTAATTAGTGCGACACCATATTGTTACGTATCAATTAGTTAAATTGGAATTTAGTCCGAAATTCAAATCCTCTACTAAACAAAGAACTGTTAGTTGTTCATGAATTCATCCACTAGCTGCACACAATTTTAATAACAACTTTTAAGTTCCGCATTACTCGTAAAATGTGGACGATAAAACATTGACTTTCAAACTTTGAAAATTGATCTTTGGAGACCGCGCATCAATCACTCTAAATTAAAAAGTTTAAAATTAAAAACCTGAAGAGATTGACTCCGATTTTTACTTCCTGAGTGTAAGTTACTTTTATGTAACTTCATTCCCATACTCCGCCACCGTCTATAACTCGAACGCATTATGTAATCATAAAACTGGACGAATCCGCACTGCAATAAATAAGCTTGCAAATGATGAACTTAAAACGAAAGCTTTGCAGCGAAACTGGAAAAAGCTAACAGGTTGTTAATTCCGAAATGAACAATTTAAATGCCCGATATTTGTAAATTGAAAAGCTTCTAATTTTTGGATGAAGCCGGAAGCGTGGCTTTAAAAATGCACACATTTATTTCTGCATAATGGATACAGAAAGTATAAAAGCTCGATACAGAGGGAAGTTTTCTGAAATTCAATATTTTATTAACGTGGACGCTGCAGTCTGACTGGAAAATGCAAAATAGCGCCTCATTTTTAAGAGAGGTGTGAATTTAATTTTGATCTTTCGCTGTGAGTCAAGGGAAAATTTACGGTTAACGCTAATATGAAAGTGTATATCATTGGAACGAACAGGCCGACAGGCAACATATTTATAAGAGCTTTGGAACGTAAAAATTGCAATATAAATTTCGGGTCGTTTTTATGGAATGACGTCATACAATTTTTGGCGAGGATGGATAAACAAATTTTGGAGATTATTAGTGCAAACACAAGTGTATCGTTTTAGTCATTTGAAATGCACAGTGCAAAAAAGCTCTTCCAGGAATTTGGTGCAATAAAATGGGAATTATATTGTTTTGACTGAGGACAAGACGAGGTCGTAATGACGCTAAAAAAGAAAATATGCGGATAATGAAAGTCTGCTCTCAACAAAATGAACTTTGTCTTGTGTTTGTTATATATTAGAATGTAATATAGACATTGTTTCAAAGCTTGTTTACTTTAGCCAGTCAAATACCGGCTTAAAAAACAACCATAAAATATTTACAAATTTAACCCAACCGAGATAAATTGCAGTTTCATTTAAATTACTTCACCCTCGCTGTTTGCAGATCGCAAACTAAACGCATCCTTATTTTCTTTCAACCCTATCGACCAACTTTGCGCCCTTAAAATTCAAACTCCAAAGTAAACAAGACCCGCCTAACGCAGCAATAATTCCCCCACCAAATCAAACCCATCTCGTAACCGAATAAAATATGAACGATCCTCGTTACACAACCTAAATCCACCCATTCAGGCCCGCAGACAAATAAAATCCCTCTTCCAGTGTAGTTTTTCCGCGATCGGAATTCTCCTCGAGCGGTCAACGGCCCCCATACAAAATGCATCATTTTCAAACAAAACATTTCGCGGAGATCTGTGTGGGCTAATAATTAATTGGGCTTGTTTACATTCATCAACGCCCACACCGCCATACACACGACGTTTCTAATTTAACCATGTTGGAGGAGTAATCCGATTTTTACAAAGTTGGAGGATCTTCGACGATTTGCTTGCAAAATTGAAAATGAATAATGGAAGCGTTAATTACGGGTGCCCAATTTTTTGCACGATTTTGGCCGCAAGGATCTGTCTTAAGTCACTCATTATTTATCGTCTACATTAACGAGTTTTTAATTGCATGCAAGTTAACTGGATGCATTTTTTTCAGATCACGTTTCCGAGCTGTCGCGCCAATCCGAGAACAAGACCCTCCTTCTGTTCACGCAGGTGTACAAGGGGATGGCGGTGCTCTCCAAAGACCCCATCGCCAAACTCTACTCCGACATACGCAGCTACATTTTGGTGAACTCCACTAAAACCGATTTGGCAGCCACTAGTATAGACATTAAGGGTACCGTGTCCCATTTTTTCACGAACTTCTTTCCCTTGGTGTACCACCATATTCTTCACATTAACGGCAGCCAGGACTTCGCGAGTGATTACAAAGAGTGTCTGAAGAAGAGCACCGAAACGATTTCGCCCTTTGGGGACATCCCCAAACAAATCTCTCAGTCTTTGTCGAAGAGCCTAGAAGCCACGAGGCTTCTCCTTCAGGCTTTCGCGATAGGAAGGGAGGTTTTGAACACCACGGACCGGCTCCTGGTGGACGAAAGTGGCAAAAGCAACGCTGAGTGCCACCAAGCTCTCCTGAAGATGCACCACTGCCCCAAGTGTCTCGGAATGGGGAAAAACATCAGACCGTGTTCGGGGTACTGTTTAAACGTGCTCAGAGGCTGCTTGACGAAGTACGTAGCCGAGTTGGACTCACCTTGGAACGGATACGTCGAGGGCATCGAGGGTTTGATTAATGCCATGAAGAAGAACCGAGAGGATGCGGGTGTGAATGCGGATTTGGCGATCAGATCGCTGGATTCGAAGATATCGGAGGCGATTATGCGGGCGATGCAGAAAATGAAGGACATAGATATGAAGGTAAGTGGAATTGAAAAATCTCGAAGTGTGCACGTGTGATACCATCGGACTCTGTATTCTACCCCAATCTAGCGACCATCCATCATCGCCAAGACAAGCCGAGACCTTCCAGGTCCGTTATAGCGATTAATTTTATTTCGGGACTTGGACCGTCGGGCAGGAAATCTATAAATACGTGCTGCGGTGCTCTTTTGGCATAACAATAAATCCGTCGAATAATTCTGGCGTAAATTTATCGCCGGTGACACGCCAACAAATACACCACACGTGATACCCGAAGAAATATTACATAATTTACAGACGTAGGGTTGATTTTATGACACGAAAAAAGTGGGGTTAAGTTAAGATTTTCAATTTAGGTACAGCGGTAGTTAAAATGCCTCGGATTTGAAAATTGATATGGCCCATCCCAGAGCATGACATCAGCAGAAACGGTCTATACAAGGTATACTCGCAGATTTATGGTGAGGAATACCCGTTGATGGTGAAAAAGCCCGGCGTGGGCGAAATGGCATCGGATTTGGGTGGGATTTAGATAAAACAGCGCGAATTTTGTGTTTGTTCGCGGAAAGTATCCACCTTGCCCCAGGTCAAGCCGAAAGCACTTCACAAATCATTTTATCCGATCCGTGACGGAAATATGGTCCAGGTTGATTGTTACGTCCTCTAGGTAGGAGAGGTCTCTGGACCCTTCTTATTTAATTATTTATAAGTCAGTAAAGCGTTCCGAGTTGCCAGCCGGCCCCACGAAAGTGTCTCTTCGCATATAAATAATGAACGACGCTCGGTCAGCCGTGACAATTCTCGGTAATTGATCCTAGGACCGGGGAAATCTGTGGGTTAATCGATTGACATTCCGATCGAGCTTAATTGATTAACTTATCATCTGTTTCATCGATTAATCAGCGATTCGATTTAATTAACTGTGACCGGCAAGCTCGGCCACAAATTACCGATTTCGTGGCAGCCGTAGGCTCGGAGGCGATTAGTCGAGTTGAAAAGTCAACGCGGACTGTGACGGGAGCGAATTTGAAAACTAGGTGATGAAGTGTGAAGAGGCTTGTTAAAGAAAAATAGTCGAGAAATGAAGACTTGGAGTGGCTGAGTTGGCCGAGAGTTTAAAATGGCAGTTGGCTACTCTGATGTGTGGTGTTACGTCATGCAGTGGTAATTTTTGAGGTTAACGTAGACACTTTAACATCCCAACGCACGCAAGGGGTTTTGAATATAAATTCTATGTCACGAAGGACGGGTCTAGAAATACATAATTTATTTTATAGCGTCATCCACTAAACTAACGATGTATCATTTAAGGTGTTTTCCTACCCATCTAAATTAAATTGGATATGTTGTAATAGACACTTCAATCTTAAAGTTTCTAGGTTTTTACTTCCCGAGCGTAAGCAAAGGAAGTATTGTAATCGAGTCCGTCGGTCGACTCTCTACTTTTACGTTTTCTCGATCTTTCATGACCCCTAGAAGACGAAGAAATAGGTCTCCCATTTCCGTCTGTCTGTCCGTCTGTCCGTCTGTCCGTCCGTCTGTCCGTCCGTCTGCCGTCCCGGATTTTTATTAGACAGATAATCTCCGAAAGTACTCGACCGATTGTTGTGAAATTTTGTACTTATCTTAAGAATATCATGTAGATGGTAAAACGCTAACCAAAATTTGTCTAATCATCCCCACCACTAATGCGATGACGTCACTTCAAAATTGTACATAGTAAATGGGTTTTCAATTGTATAAAATAACATAGTCCTACACATGTAGTTTACAACTCTGAATCGACTTTTCACCCGAAACGTCCAGATTTTTGGAAAAAAAATCAAAATTATAAAACAACATTTTAAATTTAAATTTTAATCTGCTAACCAGAATGCTTTAAAATGTTGCAGATGTTTTAAGGCTATAAAGAGCATAATAAATTTTTAGTCAAAAAATATTTGCTTATCCCCTCCAAAAACTTGATGACGTCAGCTCAAAAGTTTGTGGAATAAATCATATCTAAAATGTACAAAATATGATGAGTCTGTACTTGTGATCTATCACTCCATTCATATTTTTTGGATTTGCATATACAGGGTGACTCAAAAAAATTAATGAATGCGTAAATTTATTTTACTGATTTACTCAGAAACTGCAAAACCGAATGCTTTGAAATCTTGCAGATGTTTTAAGGTTATAAAGAGCATAATAAATGTTTAGTCAAAATATATTTGCTTATCCCCTCCAAAAAATTGATGACGTCAGCTCAAAAGTTTGCCGAATAAATCCTATCTAAACTGTAAAAATATGATGAGTCTGTACTTGTAATTTATCACTCCATTCATATTTTTTGGATTTGCATATACAGGGTGACTCAAAAAAATTAATGAATGCGTAAATATATCTTATTGATTTAATCAGGAACTACAAAACCGAATGCTCTGAAATCTTGCAGATGTTTTAAGGTCATAAAGAGCATAATAAATGTTTAGTCAAAATATATTTACTTATCCCCTCCAAAAACTTGATGACGTCAGCTCGAAAGTTTGCCGAATAAATCATATCTAAAATCTACAAAATATGATGATTCTGTACTTGTCATTTATCATTCCATTCATATTTTTTGGATTTGCATATACAGAGTGACTCAAAAAAATTAATGAATGCGTAAATATATTTTATTGATTTAATCAGGAACTACAAAACGGAATGCTCTGACATCTTGCAGATTTTTTAAGGTTATAAAGAGCATAATAAATGTTTAGTCAAAATATATTTGCTTATCCCCTCCAAAAACTTGATGACGTCAGCTCGAAAATTTGCCGAATAAATCATATCTAAAATGTACAAAATATGATCAGTCTGTACTTGTGATCTATCACTCCATTCATATTTTTTGGATTTGCATATACAGGGTGATTCAAGAAAATAAATGAAAGCGTAAATTTATTTTACTGATTTACTCAGGAACTACAAAACCGAATGCTTCGAAATCTTGAAGATATTTTAAAATTATCATAAGCATGGTAAATTTTTGATCAAAATGTATTTGGTCGTCCCCCCTAAAAAATTTATGACGTCACCACAAAATTTTGCTGAATAAATCCTATCTAAAATGTACAAAATATGGTGAGTCTCTTCTTGTGATTTATCATTCCATTCAAATTTTTTCGATTTGCATATACAGGGTGACTCAAAAAAATTAATGATTGCGTAAATTTATTTTATTGATTTAATCAGGAACTACAAAACCAAATGCTTTGAAATCTTGCAGATGTTTTAAGGTTATAAAGAGCATAATAAATTTTTAGTCAAAATATATTTGGTTATCTTCTACAAAAAACTGATGACGTCAGCTCAAAAGTTTGCCGAATAAATCGTATCTAAATTGTACAAAATATGATGAGTCTGTACTTGTGATTCATCATTCCATTCATATTTTTGGATTTGCATATGCAGGGTGACTCAAAAAGATTAATGAAGGCGTGAATTTATTTTATCAATTTAATCAGGAATTACAAAACCGAATGCTTTGAAATCTTGGGAATATTTTAAAGTTATTATAAGCATGGTAAACTTGTGTTCAAAATGTATTTGTTCATCCCTCCTAAAAAAATTGATGACGTCACCCTTAAATTTTGCTGAATAAATCCTATCTAAAATGCAAAAAATATGATGAGTTTGTACTTGTGATATATCATTCCATTCATATTTTTTAGATTTTCTTAAGAGGTGGTTCAAAAAAAGGCGCCGTATACCTGAGTAAATTGTTTCGTTATTTTATTGATTATAAGAAATCAATATTCAAAACGATCCAATTCATTTTCCCGAAAATTTGGGAATACAATAATTTTATTCTTAGTATTACACTACATCTATCCCAACTGATATACGTGTCCTTGCAAAAATGTTGATGACGTCATCACAATTTTTTTTAAATTCCCACTACAAAAATGTAATGAGAAAAAAAAACACAATAGGCATGCAGTCGTCAAGTTTCCGACAGCGAGGGAAGTACTGTCTAAACTTTTTAGACCAATTTTTTGTTCTTGAAAGTGCATATAGAAAATTTGACAACAATTGGTCCAGTAATTTCGGAGATTATGTGTCTAATAAAAATTGACACAGACGACAGACAGACAGACACATAAATTGAAGCTCGAAATAAAAAAAAACTGACTTTGATATTTGATTCCACATATAATTGACGACCCATTTGTCGCTTCTGCTCTTTATTGTCACACAAATTTATGTGTCGATGCAAATGAGTCGGCAAACAAGAAGTTATTGCACCCATATTTCCAAAAAATTCCGCGGATGACTCACAATCTGCATAATTTATGGCATTTTTCGCCGATTTAATAATCGCAGTTTGAACAATCGGTTATAGGTCCGAGTTCATTGAAGTCGCGTAACGACGAAACTTTCATAAATAAACACGAACCGTTGCAGTACCTCCAGCTACTCCACATACGGGTCTTGATTTTATTTCCGTCCAACAACTTATCACATTTAATAAGACAACCAATTTATTAAATTATACTCTGTCAATAATTATAAAAATCCGAACATATCAATCTGGACGAACTCCGGTTTTATTAATATTTAAATGAAACTCGCCAGCGCTGAGAGTTTCGTTTTGGAGGTAGTAAAAATCAAAAGTAAACGACCTGAGGATGTTTACGGTGATACGTCCGCAAAAAATGAGGTATTACTTTACAATCGGATGAAAAAAGGCAAAGGGGCCGCTGACAATAGTTGGATGGGCTCAGGGGAATTACTTCCGACCCTTTTGCGGAGAGAATACCGAGACCACACGATAGCGGACCCGACTTTATGATTCACTGTATATTCATTCGGGCTTCGAGAATCCTGAAATATGCTTTGTGTTTCGGCGGATTTGCGTTCCGAAAAAATCACTTAGTGGATAAACAGGTAAAAGGGGGGCGCGGGGAGGGCTTTGTACGTGGCGGCATGGAGCGCTTGAAGTTCCATTTGTTTCCGGCTTGACGCAG